TTTTTTTAATTGCATTGCACAGTTTAATATGCGATTCCGTCGTTTCCCCTCGTTCAAATACGAATGCGAGTGCGAGTGCTTTTTCTTCGTTTCAATTGCGAGTCTGTGCGATTCGAATCCTTACGATTCCTATATCGGTTCCTCGCGCTTCTCTGTTTCAGCTGTTTCCAGGCTACTGGCTTCGCGCTTCTTGCCGTGTCCGCGTCCGGTGTTCTTCTTGCTACTGTTACGTTACGTACGTATTCTCGGTCGAACGGTTACGTACTGAATGGATGAAGCGCTGCGAGTCGGGTCGGAAGCATGCGAAGGTGTCGGGCGCCAGTGAATAGCCAATCACGTCCTGCACAAAGCCTAAATGCGTCATGTCCAGAAAAAGTCGTCGGAGAGCCGACAGAGGTTAAGCAGCTTTGGCAGGAAAAGGAAAAACAGCGAGCACGAATGATACCCTCGGTCGGTATTGCTGTTTTTCCTGAGCCGAAAAGCCAGACAGATGCCGAAAATACAAGAATACAAAGGCGTCATTGGACAAGCCAGTATTTTGACCGGTGTACCGTGTAGGCGCCGCAATCGTGATCTGTAATTCAATTCGTGCGCGGTTCGTAATTGGCTGCGGGGCGCGATTATGATATGATACTGCAAAAATATATAGCACCTGTCAGTTCTTATCAAGCAGCAGGAAGGAAGGATGGCATGTGTTACTCATGCGCTGTTCGGCGTTCAGAAACGAAATCAGATCGGGTGATGAGATGGTCTGGGTCCTCTTGTTAATACGCGATTTAGTGTGTGTAAATTTCTGGAGATGCGAGCTGACGCGACTCGGAAGCCGAGAAACGCAGTTGCGCCTGGACGGACGTGGAGACATTGGGAATGGACGATAGCGCAGGATCATGAACATTGGTTCCGTTCCTCGAGGGCGGGTGGTGGTGGTGGCGAATAAATTAAATCAGACAAATAGGAGTGAGGTACTCTTCAACTTGACATCCAGCTGCCTCAGGCACGAAAACCATCCAAGGATAATCAGGATAAGAATTGAATTGAGTCCAGACCGTCAGACCGTGATGTCAGTCAGGTATAGTCATTCAAGAGCGATGATAGGATGTTGAACTTCAGACAGCAGACGCCAGCCCCGGTCATGTGTCGTCTCGCAGATTTGTTGGCTGTAGATTTTGGATAGGTATGTAACGATAGAGATAGAGCGCGATTGAGATTGAGACTGGTTCCGTAGGACCGTATTTCTCCGCGTTCCAAGTATGGGTGGGGTGTGGGGATGCGCGAGCGTCGAGCAAACAGTCAGACGTGATGGATGCATGGCGCCCACAGCCCGACTGCGGGGAAGCTGTGCCACGGCGAATGACGGCCGACCCCACTTCCGAGTGGACGGTCGACCCACTTCCACCCGGGATATTTTTCTTTGATATCGGGATTTTGTCCGCCCGTGTGTGCAGGTGGGCATGGTCGTCACTGTCAAGGGCGCGGGCAACCGGACAAGGTGCGATTCGCGTTAAATTGCAGGAAATATGGAGCCGACAAGACAAGGAAGAGGGACCCAGAGGTAGAGATCTGGGACGCGATGGTGGTTGGTCGAAGCAAGTTCGTTTCTGCGCGACCGTGGCTGACCGTCACGCGTGATGTGACTATGACATCACTGGAAGAAGCTGCGCATCCTCCTTGACCTCAACCATCTCGTTTGTAGCAGCTTCAACGCAGATCCCTATGGCTTCTCTCGAAACGATTCCTGTCGAGGTCATCCTTGATAACCTTCTAATGGATATGCCCATCCAGAGCGTCGTCCGGCTGGGCTGTACCAACAAGGCAGGACCGGATAATATATCCAGCTATCGCCTTCGTTGACGCGCCCTATTACCCCAGCTTTTCGCAGAGATATGTGCCGACGAGTTGCTATGGCATCGCAGGCTGCAGAGCGACTTCAATTTCTCAGGCGTTGGCACCGCTCGGGTCAGCGGATGGAAATTTATTTATAGAGGGTTATTTAACCCCAAAGGTAAGAAAAGCTTACGACTCGCCAAGTTGCCGTAGTGGCTCCTTCGATCTTGCACATATTGATTCCGTTTTCGTGTTCCGGCACTAGTCTTCGTATGGGGGTAAGAAGCCGGCGCGTCAATCTCCTTGGCGTTCACTGCTCACACCACAATTTCAGAGAGAAGACGAACGGGAGACTCGGTCTGGGTAATAAATTTCCCAAATGCAATCTCATCAATGGCGGTGTACCGTTTCCGACCCAACTACGCATTCCACGGGTCCGGATCGTGAGCGTCGTGAGTGGGGGAATGTATGACATTTCCACGCGGTCACGGTACACCTTGCTTATGTCGTAACTCAGGTCTTTTCATGCCCTCGATTCTGAGGGTCATATCTACGTCTGGGGTGGGTGCAATGAAGGCACTTGTAGTCGGTTTTCAAAGTCTTTACAGGAACTTTGAATGGGCAGATCGGATCGCTGGCCAGCGATGGCTTTTCGGAGCCAGGGAAACCTGCGCCGACGCCTTTGCGTCTGGAGCTACCCACCAAGATCAGACAAGTCAGGCAAGTTCTCTTTCTCCTTCACAAATGTTGCAGGTGATCAACATCGGTTCAGTTGCGGGAGGCTTCATGCTGCCGCCTTGGATTTCAAGGGTCGAGTCTGGACTTTTACAAGCTGGGGCCGTCCATTCACGCTTTCGTCTCATCATCTCCTCCCGGGGGACTCGAGACCCATCCAGGTCGAGTGTGGGTGGGGCTTTTGCTCCCTTCTCACCAAGTCCGGTGAAGTGTTCGTCTGGTGGCCACAGTCGGGGAGTCTGTTGGAGCAAATCGACGCAAAAAACGCGTCGATGGATGAAGCCCGTCAGTTCTCTGCGAAGGCTCTGCCCGACGGGGTGATTCCTTGTGCCACCTGGGATTTGGAAGCCGACCCAACTAGATTGCCGGGACTCCCGGTATTACCGAAATTAGCCACGACTGGCGACTTGGATGAAGTCGAAGAGGAAACCAAGATAATCAAGATAGCTGCTTTGGATAAGCGCCTTGTCGCTTTAACCAACCGCGGTCATGTCGTGTTTTTCTCGTCGCTTGATAATGAGAATGTCGTTTCCGGTGGTCGGTGGCAATACGCAAGTACTTTGGCGTGTTCAATTATGTCTACTGAATTGGAATGCGAACGTTCAGCTTCCCAACTTTAGCGAGCTCGATCGAGTGCGCACCATGCCGCCCTTCACGCCAACCGACGAGTCCCCGGGCATCGGTGCCCCCCAAACGATGAAGATCACTCATGTGAGTCCACCCATTCATTTCTTGTTACAGTGCGAATATCACGGGTGCACTTTTCGAAGATATCGGCCCAGTTTTTAAAGTTTTTTGCGTACTCTACCGGTGCGAGCTCCGTGGTATTAATGGGAGGTCCAGAAATAACGGAAGAAGCAAATCCCCATATCGAGCCCGCTCTTCAAAACAAATCCATCATTTCGGTCGCTGTGGGTGACTGGCACAACGCCGCATTGACATCCTCTGGCAAACTGCTGACCTGGGGCGGATACTCGGCCGGTGCTTTGGGTCTCGGAGACCCCACAACGCTTACCCCAGGGACGCCAGGGGCGTTCGCCACTGAGCGCCAGCGGCTAGATGGCCTGGAACGCGGTCTGGGGACGCCGCCTAGCACGAACGTTCCAACAGAGGTCCGCTTTGACCATGCGCGCAAGACACCGAAGGAGCGGTTCTGCTTTCAAGCATGCGCAGCCGGCTGGCAGTCCGGTAAGTATGCTTGTAGCGTATTAACACTTGAATTAACCGGACCGTACCTAGGTGCTTTAGTCATTGACATCCAGGTCAGTTGAATTATGGATCACACAACATAGAGGTCAAGCTAATTTTACCGTGCAGGCGGATGGTGAAGAGGAGGAATCTGAAGAGGAAGTGGCAGAGGAGGACGCCCACCGGCGCCACATTCGGCCTGTCCGTGGTGGACACGGACTCCCTATTCAGCACCCGCTGGGCTTCCCCGTAGGAAGCCCATTCCGAATTGGATTCGCTGGCAGGGGCGCCACCAGGGGGCGGGGAATGTAAGTCGCCACCTCGTTGATTATCTTTTGTGTATTTGTATGCGAAATCATGCATGTCAGTATTGACACCGGCAGACGGACAGTCCAGGGCGTGTCATTTCCTCCTTTAAGGATTTGTACACTGTTTCATGGCAATAGATTCTGTCTTGGGGATCTCGTTGATGCTGCATTCTTATCTGCCCGCGTTCGCGTTTGCTGCGACGAGGTCGGAGATTCAAGATTTCTTCTATACTCAGGTGTGTAACATTTGCTTGGTACATACGATGCATGTTGCATCGTGTCCAGTTGGAATCTTACATCTTCGGCGCGCATGCTCGGCATCTAACGTTATAACAGCAATAATGGAAGATTTTCGCGTGGCAAAAGAAATTACAACGAACGGTCGGAATCACCCTTGGCTAAAGCTTTGAGGCGGAGCATCCTCGTACCGAGGCCGAGCCGAAATATCATTGCCATCGCCTTCATTGTCCGAGAGTTCCTGATAGAATTCAACTTGTTTTTTTCCCTTTGGAAACCCATTCTTTACACTTACTAGATGCAAGGAAATTGAACTTGGTCTGATGGTCAGCTATGGGTCAGCCCATAGCTGTAGGGCGCAGTATACAGGCTTTCCAGAACGAACGTTTTTCACTTGAACCTCAGAAGGTTACGTCTTATGATTGCTCGATGGTTACATCTATATATACCAGATCCGACTGGAACATCCGAACAAGCACAACACACTGTTTCACAAAATATGCGCGAACCTGGCGCTGGACATGATTTTGTGCAGATATTTTTCGGAACCTCGATCGAGCACACACCAAAATCTGTCACGCACCGTGACAATGGCGGATCAAGTTCTGTTACGATCGGAAAACAAATGCTATAGCTTCAATTCTTTCAATCTCAATTGACCAGGCTTGGTTCTGGGGTGAAAAATAAACTACGGAGACCACGCAAAAAGGGCCTAACCGGGAATTGAACCCGGGACCTCCTCGAGAGTCACGTGACAACCAGTTCAATTGCTAGAGCTGCCGACATCCCTAACAAGGAATCATACTACTAGACCATCAGGCCATATATTGACAACCAGAGATCAACTATATATCACACCTATATCAGGCTTATTTCCCAGATACAATTTTGAAACGGGATCCCAGTCCGCGAGATCCGCATGGTATTACCGGTCCCTCTCCCATATAAATAATTCCTTATCTCAATCTTTCAGTCTCTCCCTGGGTTGAGTACTTATGTGACAATGTCTATGGTGAGTCCAAAACACTGCGATACTAGACGAGGAACTACAATATTAGTATCTGTCAGATTCTGTCTAGAGATCGGCCAGCGATAGACATGTTTGCCAAATATACAGCAAGTATCAGTCGTACCCAAGATATGGTAGAGACCGTTCATTCATACCTGTAATCCACGGGTGATGTAAGTAATTCAGTAAGTGATTGCTATGACAAGTGAATACGAAGACGCACCCTCAGTCGTACCCAAGTGGTAGAAATTGTACCACTTATATACCGTCGCTATGAGGCTATAAGGAGACGAGTCAGTATTTCCAATATACCAAAAGTGGAACCGAAACCAAACCAAAACGCCAAAGAACCTGAAGAGGAATCGATTGATCTTCCGCCTCAGAAATGTTCACGTACAACTGTTGGAGGTGATTTGTCTGTCCGTGTTCCTCTCCTCAGGCATCCTGCTGGTGTGACAAGGTATTTTTTGAGTTTATTACTGTGTTGCAATGTGCGATTGAAAGTTGTATTTTGGCAGTGATTGTTCATAATTAGAAATGAGTGTTGTAAATAATACGAGGGATGAACTTTTTGTCTGCATAATGCAAATACTGCCAGTGATCAGTGCTGTATCCTTTTTTTGTTGCATTACCTTTGACCCAGACGGCGGGATGGATGTTTGAACTGGCCGCTGGGCCTCCAAGGGCTTTGACGGCGTTAACCTTCCGTTATGACTAGTATCGCTGTACTATGGGTGGAGCTCTTCAGTCAGCACTTACCTCTGTGTCAGCACACTTCGGTCTGCACGGGTATGCAATCGGAGAGGACAGCAGCGACTCAGAGCTGGACAACTGCGGTACTTGTGGGAAGGTTCCGACGCTAACGGCCGGGCTCAGAGTATAAATATTGCCAACCCAGACGCCAGCGATGTCAAGCGACATGAGCGCCCTCGAATTTCGCCAGGCGAACAAAAAGTATGCTGCGAATTTCGAAAAGCCCAATCGGAGCAAGCTGTTCAGAAACGTGATTATCGGTAAGTCTAGGCATCAGTATTTGGCTGGTTCGAGGTATTGAGTGGGAATATAGTGGCCTGTATGGATCCCCGTGTCAAGTAATTCGCAGCTTTTCTTTGGAGGTGCAGAACTGATGATTGAACGCGCGTTCCAGTCCATACGACCAACTTGGTCTGAAAACCGGGAATGGTATCACGATCCGCAACGCCGGTGGTTCAGCGTAGGCCATGAAAATCGTCACTGCGTACATCATGATCGAATTGACATACGTAGCAAAGACGCATTGCGTAGCATTATTGTGGCCCAGCATTTCATTGGGGTCGATGGGGAAATTGCCGTTTTCCACCATACCGGTGGGTCGCGCTTGGCGTCGCGCTATTGCGTTGAAGATAACCTCTGCAGATTGTGGTATGTCGAGAACTACGACAGATCAAGTGCGCAATATCGTGAAGATGGCAAATCCTGGGCGAGACGACATCGCAGCGACAGTTGATGCCATGGCGTTTCACCACATTACTGACATCGAGGAGTCCGTGAAGACTGACGTTCAGTATCTCGCGGAGAACCCTCTGCTCTTGAAAGGAACAAAACTCTCCAGGTGGGTTTACGATGTGGAGACGGGAAGGGTAAGTTTCGTAGGTTTTGAATGTGGGAACACTGTTGATTGAGGTTACTACCACAGATATCCCAGATTGTGGAGGCAGTGGTAGCCTAGGTACAGTAGACCAAGAGAGTGCGCAAACTGCAAGTTCTGTTGTGACTTCTTGTGACAGTTGTTTCACCGCCAGATCAGGCCAAATTTCACACGTAAATCATTGTGGACCCACAAGCACCCACCGCCGCAAAATCGGCGCAGATAATCGTGTTTTGTTCTTTCAATTTTGAACGGCCCATAGGTCATGGCGAGAAGTTTTGCGCCACCGGTGACCCAGCTGGATGCATTTCGATCTGCTACAACCTTGATGATGATCCTTGTTCCCAACAATTATGATTCTGAAATTCTCGCGTCTGCAGACAAACTATTTATGGACCCGTGCTACCGCCATCATGACAGCCAAACGGTCCGTTGTTCTACGCGCTACTTGAACCTGGTCAGAATATTACGCAGAGGAACGGGCATGCGGGTTTTTTGCGTCGGGGTCTCAGACCCAGTCGCAGACGCACGTCTCAGCACATTCTCGTTGAGCGTCCACCGTGCCCGCGATGAAGACGGTGGGGTAGCAAGCGGGTCCGGAGAGCTTGGTTTGTTTTCCTTGGTAGCAGTAGCAGCGGAAAACACACGGCTGAGAGAGTGACGTCCGCTCGAGGAAGCTTTCTTGGCCAGGCTTCTCTTGGGTGTAGCAAAGGGCTTTTCGGGAGATGGGGTAGACGAGGCGGAGTCATGGAGTCCCGGAGAGGCCCCTTTCTGTTGATCGTGGCCTCGTGCGAATGTAGCCGTAGATTTAGGAGGAGGAGACCGATAAAGAGGGGCAGGGATTGTAGGGCGCACTGTGTGGGACCGCGGTCTCGGCGGGAGGGGGCGTTTACTGGGAGGGCTCGACGGAAGAGATCGGCGCGGACGTGGCGTTACCACAGATGGGCTTTCCGGAGACTCTGGACGTTCATTGGGCAAGGAAGCAAAGTGAACACTCTTGGAACTCTTCAGAATGCTTCGTACGTATGCCCGCTGAGCTGGGCGAGGTGGGAGAGGCGTCGACGGAGGTGCATTCAGAGCCAAGACAGGGCTTCGGTCCAAAGGCGAAGGACTATGGTGGAGGGACACATCAGGACCTCGGCTCGAAGAGGGGAAAGTATCTGTTAGCGACTGCGCAGCATAGTCGACCATATCGGGTAGAAGAGGTTTTTTAACAAACTCTGAATCCAATGGTCGGGGACTGTATGTATCCAAGAAACCGTCCGCGAATGCCCATTCGTCGACTTCTCTATCCACTCCCGTTTGCTGCTCTAGATTGAGTGGAGCGCACTGCGATCTTAGGCTTGTGACCATTTGTTGAAGATCCATCGAAGGGCGATCAGGGTGATGTGCAAATTCGAATTTTGGGGAGTAGGTTGAGGGAGAACCGAGGAATGCAGTGGGAATGCTAGGATATTCGTTCTCGCCAGTTGACGGCTTGACTGACAACGGCGGTAACATTTTCTTGCCTCTACGAGCCGCCAACGCAAGAGGAACCTTTGAGGTCAGATTTCCGGACGATTCCAGCGACACCGGCAGCGAGAAATGGGAATTCGAAACGATCAAGGAGGGCGGGGCCGGGCGACCTGAAGCCTTCGCCTCTTGCTCCTTGAAAAACGAGTTCAAGTTCTGGAGTTCGGAAATCATATCTGCCACCCCTGGATCCATCGACTTGGACGAGGCCTGGAGGGACATGCGAGTGGATTTGCCGCCGGAGTTCAAAATGATTTCGCGCTCGAAAACCAATGCATTTCGATTGGAAGATCTACGAGAGGCATTTCCCATGGTTGGAGTCGCTTCTTGTTCCGTGAGCTCGGGCGTGCGATTGCGTCGAGCATGGGCCATCTTGGTTTTGAATACCTGTGGACTGTAGAGTGAACCTTCGGATTTCCAGGATGTCGGCTCAACGTTGTCAATACCGCCCCACGGCGTAAGCTCAGACGAATCAAAACCAACACCATTCTGTTGAGTTGGTGTCAGCGATGTGGGAACGATATACATCACGAATAATTTACGAGCCACGTTTCGACGAGCAACTTCTCTTTCAGCATTGTCCGAAGCCGAGGGGGAGTGGGCGAGGTAAGAGTCGCTTTTCCCAAAGCGAGTTTGCGTGTAGAGCAACGTCCAGACATAGTAGGACCGTCTTGTCCGATAATGGTAGCCAGCGGGACCATGCAGCCCGCAGGGATGGGTGGGGTAGAGGATGTGGACGAGGTCAGAGAAGAGAGTGTGAGGGATTCAGACAGTAGTGAATCGTCGTGGACGCAAAGACCGACATCCAGGGATCTATCAGAGGGTAGGCCCAAGCCAGATGAATACAGGGAAACGGTCATGGTGGTAGGAAGTAGAGGTTGTGGCTGACGATGATCGAACTATTAATAGCTTTCGCTTTGTGCCCCTTAATTACCTTAGTCGACGCATGCGACTATATACTTTGAGGCTAATACTGGAGCACAATTGTAATATTTGCGCTAAAATTCACCACTGTGGCCTGCTCAGAGAGAAGAACAGCACCGGTTCCTGCACCGACCAAAAAAAGCCGGCGAGACAAAAAAAGTATTCACTCTGGAAAAAGTGATGGATTGGGGATCCTTAAAACGATCCTGAAATTGAAAGTATCAGTAGTAAAATAAGTAGCCCTTAAACTGTACCTGGGATGCAAAGAATTGGTGTGACTGAACCAGCAACCTAGACGATCGTATCGGGATCCGATTCTGAGGTCCCGAAATTTCCTGTTTTGGGAGCAACATCTGCGCTCGAGAAACTGTTCCAGAAATGATTGGTTTCAGGAACAGTTTTGGCCAAACCGAAATGTAATGTTTCTCACTTCCAAAAACGTGAAGTTTTTGGGTACCTAAAAGCAATCCCGAAACCTTTGGTTTCAGGCCCGGATCACCGGGCCGGGCACCCGAAACCTTTAGTTTAAGGCCGGAGGGCCGGCCCGCACCCCGGCCCGGTGATCCGCGCCTGAAACCTTTGGTCTCGGGATCGCTTTTAGGCACCCAAAAACTTTATGTTTTCCAGCGTGTGAGACATTATGTTTCGGTTCGGCCAATACTGCTCCTGAAGACAATTGTTTCCGGCCCAGTTTCTGGAGCACCGATGCAGCTCATAAAACGGGAAATCTCGGGACCTCAGAACCGGATC